ATTATATCTTTTTCAGAGAGGTGTTTTATCTTTACGCCTTGATTATCGAACCACTTTATTACCTCAGCCCAGAAATCCTTAGTATAACGACAAGAAATAAAAAAGTGCTCCAAGGATTCGTTCATTTCGCCACAAAAGGAACACGCCGGGGATGGAATAATACCAATTTTGTTTAAAAAAAATTTGTGACAAGACACCTGTTAAGTAGTTTATACTGGAATTCACGCGATTTTGTGTCCAAGGAAGTACGAAATGGCAAGCTGTAAATCTCTTTCCATTCTAAAACATCATTAACAAAATGAGTATTAAAATTCAGTTGGGCAGTCGGTGGAGTGATGATTCTATTTCGAAGTTCTTTATATATAGTCTTTGAAATGACTGTTTGAATTAAAACGTTTTTGTCATTAAAACTTAATTTAATTTCGTTATACAAATTGAAAGGCTCGTCAGCTGTAGAAGCAAGCGTGTTTAATGATTCACGCCATTCAACTGGTAAGGCGTCTATTACAGAAATAAGTCTAAATCTATCTAACGGCGAGGTGTTTAATTCTCTCAACTTGTAATTACATTTAAAAATAAATTCGTTATTGTCCGAGATTAGATCCTCTATTTGAAGAATTCCTTTTTCTGCGAGATTTTTAAAATACACAGATTTGCCACCGATACAAATAAATTTATTATTCCACACAATAGCTTTTGAAAGATCTTGTCTATTTTGATCCTGTATACTTGCGTGAGTTGCTGCGGAACATTTTGCGAAACTTTTAAAGCATTCTTCACAAAATGCTGGAAGCTTTATGGGCAATTTCTTCAAATCAAAATCGCAACATAAAATAAGTTTACCCCCCACAGGTTCAAGATAATGCAGTACAATTTTTTTCCAATTGCTCGGTTGATCGCTTGCCAACTTTTTGCAACAGAGGATTCTCTGAGTCTCTTTTATAGAATCTAAATGTGGGGCTTTAAGTCACCCATCTTCAATGTCACCAATAAGAGCAGAGCGTTTGATTTTGTCCTTCCCCTTCCAGATAAAATCGAAGATAATTTTGTTCACATCTTTCACAAATTCCCTATTTACTAATATAACTCGCGCGATACAGGAAAATAGGAATGATAAAAGTTTTGACAATTTGAATTCTTCCGATAATCGTCAAATCCCTCCACTTCCAAATTCGTAGTTTTTGTTGAATGGAACTAATTAATTCATCAACATTTCATTTTTGTTTCAATCGAAAATCATAGGTGAAGTGCACTCCCAGAATTTTAACAACTTTTTTAATATTTAAGTTGCATGAAACGAAATTATCTTGATGTAGAGTAGAAGAACAATTTCCCAATATCATTATTTCTGATTTATCGTGGTTAGTCTTCAGGCCTGAAAAAGTCCCGTAATCTTCTATAAGTCTAAGAAAGTTCACAAGCGAAAGATTATCTTTCAAAAAATCAGTTAAATCATCTGCGAAAACTAAGAATACCCCATATCAGCTGGGGTAAATAGTTCACTCTCTGAAAAGAATACGCACTTAGCGAACGCAGAGTAACGAGTAGGGACGGCGTAAGTAGAGCCGCATGTGGTGAAGGAATTTTTTAATGTTTCCAGCGTTATTTCGTAGCTGGATGTCACGTTGCCCTTGATAACCCCCAAACGTTGGTCCATAACTACTGCAGCGATAGATTGCATATCCTTGATACCGGTACTGAGCTAGTTTAACAGGTTTATAACCGTGCACGTTGTGCAGCGAGAAAATGAAGGCTTTGGCAGTCGATGTGTACCCACAAGAACCTGCAGCCAGAGAAATTTGTTAGAGGAAAGCTTAATGAATAAGAATACCTCATTGATATGATCATCCATGAGTTGTAAGGACCTTTAGGAATACTGAGAAAATTGATAGCTGGAAGAAGCCATGACGCCATGACAACAAGTCACAACATCAACGGCCGGACTAAGATGGTGGACAATGTCTCCTGAGGGTCAACGCAGTTTGCTCATAGGGCGATAATCCTTCCCCTCAACCCCCTCCAGCAGTGGATAATTAACAGCTTAGTTTATTTTCATCATGGAATGGACCGGCGTTCATCCCCGTTGTGTTCTTCGTAATGGCTTCGAGAGTAACTTTTCAGAGATTGTTTGTTGTATAACTCTTTTACTTTAAGCTGTGCATAATTTTCCTCTGTTTGCATTGGTCCATTAAAGAGTGCTTTCGGTCTTTACAGACTTTTAGTTCTTGTAGTTGCTTACATCACATTTTGGAAATCTATTCATCATATGATTTTATAACAACAAGACAATTACTTTAGCTTCCACCTACGCTGCCAAATTCCTCAAATTTAGATTTGGCTAAGCAATACTTTTCTTTGCCAGTCTAGCCCTGTCTTAGGCCTTTTAGTTTTGGACTCCACCCCATGCCATCTGCCAATTTGGTTTTCAGCTATTCAAAAGAATTTAGGTTGATTGAATGATTATGCTTTTATAACGCAACATTTCTGATTCCATCAATATTTGACACTACTTGACTATGCCGGCCGTCCCACTAGTGTTATATAACTGAGAAAAACTATATACTTCTAATAACACCTATAAGTATCTGCCAAAGTAGTGGATGGCGTTGAAGACGCGCTCTGATTGGCCTCTCAAAGCAAGCAATTTGCACCCGAAAATATTGTAGGAATACATAAATTAAAATCATATTTTTGTGCTGTATCGTCTCACTGTTTCAGTACATTCTAAAGCAACTATTCACTGCAGTGTCAGTGGCTGGCGGTGGTTATTACCTCGCAGCTTTGCAGCTCGGTTAATATCCACCATTATGATCAATCAAATATTTTTGTTTGCGCGCGATTGGTCTAAAAGCATCACATGACCGAATAGTGATACCCAAGTGATGTTCACCAATTTTTAAACCTTACGTCTTCTACAATTAGACTTTGTTTAAATTTAATTCAAGATGAGAGAGCGTTTTGTGGTTGTTAAGGAAGAAGGTAAACACTATTTTGTTCATGAAGTCGTGCCAGAAACCATGCCACGCAGCAAACAGTAAGCTGTTTGTAAAGTTTTTTCAACGCGCGTTGCAAAATGGTTAAAGGATAGTTAACACAATAGCGTCTATTTGGCGCAAAAATATGCACCGATTTCATTCCTTGGACGTTATCTGTTCCTTGCTCAAAGTTTTCCTCGAGCTTCGCTTTGGGGAAACTGTGAGCATCGTGGAACAGATGATGTCGGTGGACAACTATCTGCGCATATTTTCGCGCCAAATAAAGGGTATTGTTTACCTAGCCACCTCCTCTACAGTGAATAGTTGATAACTAACTAGAAATGCATACTTTGCCAGGACACGTCGGTGTATCCACCAAATGTGTAGTTATCAACTTGAATAATGGAAACCGCGGGTCCCTTTCCATCACATTTCGAATGGAATGTTGTTGAATCCCAGCCATCTGTCTGGGCGTGATAACATCTAATGAATTTACTCGAGGAAAAGTTAGTTAGGACTGGGTGTAAGTAAGAGGAAAGAGTGCCAATGTAGTATTTTGGTGAGTTGTCCAGAATGCTCGATGATGCGAGGCCACCTGTTGATGTAAAACAACGTTGTAATCCGACGGCACTAAATCTACTTAGCGATCATCCTTTCTGCAATGCAGTTATAGGGGGAGGACAAAACACATTTTCCGCTCTTTTTTTTTTTTTTCTTAGCCTAAACATTTAAGTAAGCTGTACACATTTGAGTAGCAAAGACTTAAAAGGCCGGTTATTTACGCGACGTTTTACGCAATCAGTGGCCGTTACGCTTTCCCTGTAAGAGGGTTGACTCGATTAAACGAATGTCCTTGCACTGTCAGCTTTCGGTCCTCTTGACATAGTTCAAAAACATAAACGTACCGATAAAACGTTCAGCTAATTTTAGGATTGATAAAGACGCGGTTCTGTTTAACGACGACTACACTTTGTGTAAATAACCGGCCCATACAGTCATATTTTTTATCTAAAATCGGAAGAATATGAACTATCGACCATTCTGTACGAACGCATTAATTTCAAACTCCTCCAGGCTTCTCGTAGCTCCTTTCCCAAAATCTATGAATAACTTCGACGAAAATTTAATTAATTTACGTAAGGCGAAGTGAGAAATTGAACGAAAGCGCAAACGAAAAACGTGAGAAGATCGAGGGTTCATGTCTTCATCGCTGCTTTATATATCATGTTATACCAGAGAAATTGGTAAATCTATGGTCCATGTTCATTTGCATTTACTGCTGTTCTAAACGATACTTACGATCACTTGTGCAAATATATGAACCCACTGTATTACTGCAGTAGCTATTGGCCTCACAATAGTACAAGTCGTACTCACACTTATCAACATCTAGAAAGAGGTGAATTGTTTTTTCGAAAACGTGGGAAATAACTGAAAATAGGTATTTTATTCCTTTTTTTTGTACTTGTACTTCAAGTATAGCGTTTCGCTCTTAGTTACTTTAATTGTATAGCCGAGGTAAAACCAACTTACAAAAGGGATAAAAAAGTGTGAACTCCTGTCACAATGAAAACCTCGCCACTCACTATTTTTAACCCTTTTTTAAATGCACGCATACTCAAATGCATTTAAAGACGAGTGCGTTTTTTCGGTTTTCATCGGGGGGCGAAGTTTTGAGTGCTACGTGAGATATTACCCAAAAACGAATACAAACAACAATAACAAAAAACAGTTAAAACACGTTATGTCTTTAAGATCAAGTCTCTAAGACTCGCTGGTTCAAGTATTAGACTCTCTGAAGTTTGAAAAATTTAGTCAAACAAAATTCTCGTAGTTCTAGGTGAATGAATTTTTCCTTTTTCCTCGAAAAGTTCAGATGGCTACAAATTTTTCTCTTAGAAATTGGTGTTTTTAATTTCATTCTGGTAAAGCGAATAGGAGGCTTTTAATAAATTAAGCCTTAGTTGAGCCAGTCTAGGTTTTATAAAGGTTTGAAATCAGAGGCTTATATAGATTATAAGTTACCTTCTGTTTTCATGTCGCAGTAGGCGAATGTCGCTGTTTCCGTCCAGGGATTATAATACCAGTATTTGCCGCTAAACGCTTGCTCTCCCTCACTCAACTTGATTTCCCTACAGTTTGTAGCAGGAAGTTCAGGAATAGAGCCAAAAGCAGCTGTGTAGAAATGATGAAATAAGATAAGATAAAATAAAAGAAGGAGATAATTTTGCTAAAAAGTATGTAGCTAAGCTCGTCCTTCACTTTCCATATCGGAACTTGCACCGAAAGACAAGCAAGTAGACGACATTTTTATGAAATGTTTTTAGTCAGTCGGGTGGAGAGCAGATGCAGGAGACGGGGTCTACGGTTTATTGTCCTTATCCGGGAAGACTAGGAGGTCAATGTATTTTCATATTTCATGACAAAGGCAGCACACTCTCCTCAACTATTTTATGACTAGAGTGTTCTGTTCCATTGTTTTGCCTGCTCAATCTTGAGGACACAATCGTTTTTAGTGTGATGCATTATGCTTGAATAACTTTATGAGTATCCTAAGAAATATACTCTTTTTTCATATTACATATTAGTTAAAAACAAAACAAAACAAAACAAAGCGGAAAAACATAAACAGCAGACTCAAACGATTTGCACCCTAGGATAGATTGTATATATTTCTTTCAATAAGTTCTGACATTGTTTTATGTTTGTTCTGACAAGTTCTAAACAATGATTACAATGTTTACATAACTAAACAATCATAATGCTTACAGAAGAAAAAGTCAGCACAACAAAACGGGAAACTCATGATACTTGCAGTGCCTAAGAGTATTTACAATACTCAACCACCTAAGAAATATTCGTGAAACCGTCGGTGTGCTAGCCAAAAAAATACAGTACAGTATTGCTTACAATACAACATAACATTGAAACATTCTTTAGAAACTTACCCCCTTTGGAATTTTCACTTCCATCTTCGAGAAGAGCCTTATCTGAAAATAAAATAATGAGAATAAAAACGTTGTTTGTGGTTTGATTTATTCCCTGGTGAGTTTACCAGATCTCCTGCCAGAAGTTACTATAGTAATCTAACTACATATGCAAATACGGCGAGAGGTTCTAAAAATGACCTTTCACGATTGGAGTACAACTTGAACTGCAATTGAAGTATCTTTAACCAATATACCGCACTTTCTCTCCGTTTACCGGCGTTATGACCCACACAGGATTTTTGGAGAACACCAGAATGTTTGTAACTCACGAGCCAAAGGTGAATGATTTACAAACTTCTCGGGTCAAAATAAACGTAAAACAATTTTCAATTTTATATGGATTGATGATTCAAATTCACCTTTTACTGAAAAGAATTATGGCGACGATTTCTGAAACTTGAATCCTTCAAGGTTGAATTCAGAATGTAAAGTTCTAAAGGAGACTAGCTTGGAGTGATTTGGAGGTGAAGTTTCCTGAAAGTTATTCCAAAAAATAGATTAACAGCAATGTATCTAATACATCTACGAGTACTTTTTCCATCAACCGGAGTAAAATTATATTTATCCTGTATTGCTCTTAAAACTACATCACACAATCAATAATTAAAGCAAGTCACACTATACTATCCTCCAAACAGGATCTCAACCTACGTCACTAAGGCTAGGAGCAAACTAAATTAATTAACCTGTTATCTTTCGATGGAAATATCATATACAGGATGTGATGTTTAGTCTTCTTTTCGCCACTGACAAAAAAGACATTGCTTCTTAAACAATATTATTGATAAAATACGTTAGAAATGAAGATTGTGAAATAGAGAATAGTACATGGGCGCGCGTAGATATGGAATTTCTCTTCGAGTGTTTAACTCGATAGCTAACGAGTGAGCACAGCGAACGAGAGAGATGTCGAGTTGAACACGAGAAGAAAAATTCCATATCTACAAGCAACCGTCTATTATTTTGTTTATAATATAAACACAATAGCCCTTTACTGAAAAGAAAAGCCGACTTATGAATGAATGAAAATAAATGAATCGACAATCCCTGAATAACAATTGTAGAGTGCGTTGGTGCTAACTCTTGAGATGGAAAAATGCGTTGAATATTGATTACAAAAACAACAATGGTCGTAAATTTCAATTTACAAAATTCTCATTGATTGACTTTGTCCTTACCGACAGAAGAAATCTTTCAGGTAAACGGCAAAAGTTGGCTAGTGGCAAATCTTCCAGTTGTTGACTTTCATTCTCAGCCGAGAGAAATGGTAACACCAAAGCCACTAAATGTGTAACTTTCAGTTTTTTTCTTAGTATATTGGTTTCCTTCCCCTTCTAAGAAAGTTTGAACCTTACAGTCTGTTAGCGATACGCATATTTTAGTGTTTTACCGGCATAATTCGAGAAAGCTCCGACAAAAAAACTTGTATTGAGAATCGAGAAGGCTTTGCCGTTCATTCATCAACCTGATCGAGTGGCGCCAATGGCAAGTGCGGCTGATTGGCTATATCAACACACGTGAAAGAATACGATATTTTTTCACGTGTGTTGTTACGGCTTTTCTCAGAGCCGCAAATCCCTGTATAACACCACAGTTCATGTGATAAAAAATGTTTGTACATAGCTCTTGTGTGATTAAGTCTCTTAAAAATATTAATAGGAGGTAAAATTAACTGAAACTGAAAATTTAAAAAAGCTTAACTTTACCTAAAAGAATAGTGAAAATAATTTCTAGCAGGGATGACTTACTGCTTTCGCGTTTTTGTGCCAAAATAGAATTTCAGTAAACTGATTCGTGCGTTTTACAGTTCATTCACGCTTACGGAACACTGTAATGGCCTCCTACGAAATTGCGCAACAGCGTGCGTTTTTATCTTCTTAATATAGTAAAACTTTTCCCTTTTTAATTGTTATAAACAAGCAATCGCATGTTACCAGTCCTTTAAAAGTTGCCTTTATTTAACTAACGAGCGGTTTCTTTCCCCTACCCTGCTATTTCACATCTCTTCATTCAGAATGACAAAACACTAACAGCCTAAATGAACGTTAATTAGAACAAGTGAAGTATACTTGCAAACTTGATACGCTTTCTTGATGATATTATATCCCGGCTGAGCTCTTTGATTTCGCTGTCGCTACCGATGAGGGATATTACCCTGGCAATTATCATGCTACAGTATTAACTTGTGGTCACTTTACATGCGCATTGGCGTCCTTTGGCTCTATGATACTCAGATGGATTTCGCCAGCGTTGAACGCTTATGGAAAGCACTTTAAGTGAGGAGTAAATAAAGAAAATACTGTTGATGAATTCTATTCAATCGCCTTAGATGGGGGAGGATTCATCTGGTAGTGAGAACAAAGAGATAAGATGAACCCGCAAAGTTGTTATTTTCTTTGTTAATCCTTATATCATTGTTTCTTTGTGGTTTGGTAAAATCTCCCATTTAAAAAGTGCATGCAAGATGTGTTTTCTGTTATTGCACTTCATAGCATATCATTAGCAGGTCTTAATATGAATATACAACTGCGCGGTCTGTATTTTAGTATGAGGAATAAAGGTAACTTTTTTTGCAAACTTTCACGTATATCTGTTTAATAGACCATTCAGTTATACGGTACTAAATACACAACGCGATATCTTCACTCTTTACTTTCCCATAATCAAAACGAACTACCTTATTGGTTGCTTTGATACTCCCCATTTTTTACTTAAAAGACCTTCCATCTCATTGCATACTTCTAGTGTGGGCAAATAAGGAACTTCCGCTTTGACATAACCATGACTGCCTCATAATTGATAATTGACGCTTTCTCTAGCGTCTCCACATCATTATGGTTCGCACGAAGTATTAGAAGTTTCCATATTCTTATTAGCCAAGTAGGAGGACCAGGCAGGAAAATATCCTCTCTTTTTACTATTCTACTTAAGGCAACACTGCTAATATTTCAGTTCTTTTGTAGCAGCTAAGATGCAACCTCTGAAAACGTTAGCATACTATACACGTCAAAGAAGGTAGACCACAGTCAAATAGAACTTTCACCCTAGATCAGTGTTAACCGCCTTCCGAACAGCTATGCCCTCCGGGTTTTTGTATATCCCATGTTTTTTTATTTGTTGTTTTTTGTTTTGTTTTTGAGTTTTTACTCCATTCTAAAGAGCTGAATTGTCTCTGACGCTTAAAAATATTTTCACCAACTCCTTCAGGTTGGATCGCCAATCATTCAGTGTAATTTAGGTTCACCGTAAAACTTACTCATACTTCTTAGCGTTACGCTCAGTCGCAAACTGTAGAAAGCGATTTATGACTCCGGCTTAGGTTTGCGAGCCTTTTTATGCTATTGTTAAACTTTAGAAAAATACCCTTAATTAGTCTGCCCACTTGCCGCCTCCCTTCATTTATTTATTTGTAAACGTTAACTGAGTCACCCAAACGTAAAAAGGTGTGAAATCACACTTTCTTTATTCCCTTCGGCTTGCGGACAACATGTTTTCTCTTGTATTCATTGCGCCTGTGGCTAAAAGAAGCGAAAAGGGCTTTGGGGACGAGAATGAGCCCGAAAAAGATCAAATGACTTGTATAAGTTATATTAGTTTAGCAGAGTTTGAATTCAGGAATAAGCTGCAGTTGTAATGGTTCACGAGTGTTCGAAAAGTTTTAATCAACATTCAGAGTTGTTTTATTAAAACTATTATGCGTAATTTTTCCCATGCTTAGTGTCCAGACCTCGCTCTTCATGTCACAAACTTCCTCACCCCACCCCCTTTAGATGTGTCCAGGCTGCAACAATCATTACCACATCCTCCCCCACAAAGGCTGCGTTTGTAACACTTATCGCTTCGGGAGAAACTTGAATTTCACGTTCAGTGATCTGGCTACGCGCCGGTGATTCCTAACCTTTGTCTTACGAACAATAGAAACCCTTTTCTTCGAACAATAGATAAGGATATAAAAGGAGCGAAAGCTTGACTTATTGTCCAACCAAGATCCGAACCAAAAGTTTGATATGATATTGTTTGTAGGTGTTATGCCCGTAAAGACTTCCAACTCGGAACAAGCGTGGTCCACATCGGTTGTAGCGTTTCGAATTTTCCCTATATTATCCGCAAATAATAATAATACTAATAAAAATAACTAAAAATCTTCTATATACAACCCGTTTATAATTTTGATGAGAAGTAGGTTTGAATATAAACAACACTTACACAGGCACAGGTTTCAAATGCGTTTATTCCCAACTGCTTAATTGTGTTTGCAATATTCATTCAGTAACACCTTTCAAACTGTTTATTCATCTTGTACCAATCCTGAAAAGTTGAAATTGTTTTAAGTGCGTTTACAGGACACTACTGTGTAAAAAGTAATAACCATAGGTGGGCTCACCTTTCAGGTAAAGAAATCCGCCAAGATTTCCCTCGACACAAATGTTTTGGTTCATAGCTTACTCGGTAGTAACGCCCGCATAATCAGTGCCTGAGGCACGGGTTCGAATCCTGTCGAAGCTTGCACCCTTTTAGACGCCTTCGCTATAATTGCTAAAATTGCATGTCCGCCTGCTAGGATCAAATCTTTGGTCGAATTTCATTCGCGGGTCAAATGAAATTTATTTGTTCAAAGAAAAATTGTGATCAGACTACCGAACATCTTATACTGGCCATATTCAATTGCCAGAAGGGCTTGGGAAACACAAGGGAAACATATCACCTCCTCTTTGCTAACACTTTAAGCAAATTGGGGTTAAGCAGAAAATGTGTACTTCTGACACTTTTATTCAAGAGCAAGTCAAGTTTAACAACTGGTATAGACAATTAAGCAATGTAAGTAAAACTCTGAAACAGCGTTTGGAGGCGTAATATTGAAGTGAGTGGTGATTAAATGCCCCTGAAAAGGTCCTACTTGGTGACCTCCTACTCTAACTATCTCGACTTGACTGAATATACAATCAATACAGATTTTTGCAAGCAGTTTGATTTTTTTGGCCGATTCGTCTCACTTTTTT